TAGAGATATTCGAAGAAAGATTTTAATATGTAAATGTGATATGTAATATGGAAAGTCACTGTGACTTAATCCTGTGGCAAGAGAAGACTGAAAGAAAGATCAAGAGCTGGTGTGCGTACTGCACAGCAGGGGGCAGAGCTCTGAGCTAACCAGGCCCTGAGAGCTACCTCACAGTGTGCTGTGAGGAAAGTGATCACTCCACTGCCTCAAACCAGGCATTGACTAGTGAGCTTGTCAGCAGAGTCTCACCCTAGGCAAGTTGTCACTCTGAACCTGAAATTTATTCCCCAAGGACTCATCTGTGAGGGTGGTCTGCTGATTACTTTCCAAGTCATTAGAGAAGTCTACCACAAATACTCTAGGCAGTCAGATACCTTGGGGAACCCAGTACAGTTAAGAAGTCACTGGAACCATAGTGCTGTGTGCTGCTCAGAGGAAAACTGCAATGCAGCTTTCGTAAAAGGGCAGGTTAATCTTAATGGGGGATTTGACAGGTTGGAACACCTAGGAGACTAGGGAGCACACATCTGGGTGTGTGTATGAGGATGTGTCCAGAGATTAGTAGATCTAAGGGATGATTTAAGTCACTGACGGCTTCATTGGGAGACGATGTGTGAGGAGAGACAAAATTGGTAGACGTAAGTCACTGGAGAGAGTGTCCTGGTGAGATAGAGCACATCCTGGCAACGTTCTGAGTCACTTTCTCTGTTTCTTGAATTCTATGAGAACTGTTTTGCACCACCCAGCCCTCCCCACTGTGATAGACAGTCACCTTTGACAGTGAAAACCGAAATTATTCCCGAGTTCAATTGTCTCAGATATTTTGTCACAGCGATGAGGCAACTATCCAGAAAACTGGCACTAGGAGTTGGGTTGTTGCTGCTATGACCTGACTGTCTCTCAGAAGCCTGACAAACTGCTGGCAGGGCAGGAGGCGTTTGGAAGAGTTTGGAGAAACAGGTCAGGAGAGAGAATAGGAAAGTGTGGAGTGCTAGGATTTCCACAGTACAAAGCACTCTAGGATTGTCCTCATGGGGTTTTAGAGGGACATGAAGCCTCTTCGGGGACTTTGACAAAAGTCATTCATTACAATATCATTCGAATACAATGAGGAACAAAAATTGACTATTTTTCCATGTCCTGAGGTTTTGAATGAGATTGAATTTGAAAATAAAAGACAAGGAAACCTAATCATAACAGCATCCTGGGTATGGTATAGTTATTGCTTGCTGCTTTTAGTCATGCTTACGGTGAGAATTGGGTGCAAAAGTCAAGCACAAACACGTGAAAGACATTCAGTCTCCTCACAAAAGTAGTTGCTGTCTGTGAGTACAGAGGATGTGTTTGGTAAGGAGATCAGCGCCTCTAGGCACTGGAAGTGACCACAACAAAGACAAGTTCAGGTCTCCAGGAATGACCAGACCCTGTCTACGGCAGGTTTCAGGCAATAAAAATGTCAACCCAGCTGACTTTCCCTTGAGAAGACAGAGTTGGGGAACCTTCTGAGGTAGGGGTGCCTAGGGACAAGTATCACCAGGCTCAGTGCTCAGACATCGAGAGCTGAGTTAGCTGCAGAGCGAACAGGGTTGGATCCTCTCAAATGAATAGCAGATCTTGGCATAATGTCTGTGATGCAGGCTTTCCAAGCATGACATAAGCAAGAACTGTTGGGTCACAGCGGCTGCTACCCAATTTCAGAGGTGGCCTGGGAGGCGGAGCCATGTGACAGGGTTGCTGTCCGCACATGCAGCCTTGCAGAGGGGTATTCAGGTAGCTGTGAAGGTGATACTAAGTGTCAGAGACTTGAGGAAGTTAGATGCTAGAAACTGTGAATGTCCTCTTTATTAGTTCCTTTTCTGTCTGTGTTAAAACACCATGACCAAGGCAGTTTATTTGGACTTAGAGTTCCAGAGGGATTAGAGGCCATGAGGTGAGGAGGCATGGCAGAAAACTGCGGGATGAGGGATGGAGCAGGAAGCTGAGGACTCACATCGCCCAGCACACAACAGGCAAAGAGGAACTGGAGGGGGACCAGGCTCTGGATCCCAAAGCTCCTGCAGAGACATGTTCCCTCCAGCAGAATTGCACGTCCCAAAGACGCCACGACCTTCGCAAACAGTGCCACCAGCTGGAAACAAGTTTCCAGATTCTGGAGTCAATGGGAGACATTCCTCAACAAAGCCACCACGTCTTCCAAAGAAAACCACAGGAATTGAGTGCACAGCCCAACCGAGTGGTCACGTAGTTTGAAAACCAAGGTCAGGGGACAGTAGCTGCTTGGACCCACCAGAACTCACATCTACCACGGAGGCGGTGGAGCCAACGTTAACCTCTGAGTTTCAGCAGCACTTTTAATTAACCCTTCCCTGTTATTTTCCTGTTTACTTACGCTGCAAATCTTTACTCTGACAAACACCCTGTTGCTTCGAGGTTTTAACAGGGACTTAGAACTAATATTTTACCTTAAGTGTCAGAGAAGGCTTTACACTTTTGAACAATTAGAACGATGTCCAAACTGTCAAGGTTTTGAGACTTTTGCGGTTGGACTGAATGCCTTTTTCACTATGGCTTTCAGCCTTTGAAGTGGAAAGCACACAATCTCAGCAGGGCTGTGTTCTGCTGGCTGGCCTTTTTTCATTTTTGTTAGCTGAACAGTTGCCTGCCTTGAGTCATATTTCAAGTGAGGACACTAGTAGTCAGAGAAAACAGGCAATTATTCATTTTGTGGGGGGAAATTCAGGGTCAGACGGTCTACTAACTTCTCCAACATTCCTCTCTATTGTACAATTTATTTATACAAATAATTCCAAGAAATCAATAGCACCAGCAGATCCCCGTGCACAACTCCTGTGTTCACAGGCCTCTTTGTTGCATCATTATAAAATGTGTTTTAAATCTACATCCTCTGAGTACACATTGCACCAATTGAAGCTGAGCTTTGTGAGTGGATGTTTGACAGAGGTGATGGATGTATCTTGCCTCAATCGCTAAGTTTCTTCATTTTGGTGGATAAAGGATTGACAAATTGTTAGGCAAACAGCATATACTTCATAATTGGCAGATAAACCTGAGCATCTGTGCACATCCATTCATTCTTCTCACTGAGAGGCATTGTAACTCAAGTAGGATTACCTTTTTATGACATTTATTTAGTTCTTGAATTGACTGACAAGCCTATTAATGTGTTCCCTGAACTTTATTAATGTAATTGGAAAATGGCCCACATGCCAATCAACTTATAATAAGTAATTATGTTCATAAATACTGTAAAATTATTAGCTTTTAATTTGATCCAACCTCATACCTTTAAAAGAGTACCACACATTTCCTTTTTCTAAAGGAACAAAGTACCACACTGATAGAAACATTCTGCAAGTACATTTTTAACTGCTCAGAAGTTAATGATCATCAAATGACCTTCAAAGACTAGTACTGCCCTAGAAGGCTTGCAATAACTTTAAAATGTTTAACTGTACAAAAGAGACGATGAAGTAAAAAGTTGGAAAGAAACCTCAAGGGAATTAAACAGGTGTTGGACAGGGCATGCAAACATTTTCAGGTTCAAACATAAAGGTGTGACGTGGGAGAAAAGAGAAGGAGGTGGAACGGGGATATATTTAGGACTGTGAAATACAGAGTGGGAACCTAAAGTCTGCAGTACGGAAGCAGGTGTCTGTGTTTTACCCTTACCACACAGCATTATCCAGACACGTTTTCTCTCAGACAATAAAAATTCTCTGTGGTCTTTGTCCTGGAAATTCAGGTCAAAAGGCAGAGAATCGAACATGAGGACAGGTCAGGCGGGGCAGAGAAGAAATGGATCTGTGTTTAGTCATTTCATGCCCACATTTGAAGCCCGACAATCTGTCCTCAGGGATCTTGGACGTGGGCTGTAGGTGTGGGTCTGTGGTAACGCACGCTCCTGGAATGCTCAGGACCCTGTGCTCAGACATCAGCAATGCACAAAATGGTGGGCTCCTGTGAAAACCATAATCTATTTGCATATGACCCTTCTGAAGAATAAACCTCACTGCAGCAACCATCTATAATTCATTGGTTTGTTTCTCATTTTATACTTTCTTCTTAGAGTTAGTCGTTAAACTAAGACATTTATCCTTATCAAAATTAAATTATTAATAATAATTGAATCTGTGTTTGAGGTTTTTATTTTACGTAAGGGAACAAAGGTGACTTAGGAAAGTTAAAGATCAACTCTCTGTTGCAGAACTAATTCATGCATCTAAATTAAAATTTCACCATGACCTGTTGAAGGCGGACCTCAGAGGAGACCCAACTGAGGTGCTCACTCAGCTTTCCCACTAGGTAATCAGTGCTCATGAATGGACGCCACATTGTCATGTGACTTGCTGCTGCATTTCTTAGGGTTGCTGCAAAGGCATTTTGAGTATCAGAGAATACAGTATTTCCACAAAACCAACATGCGAGAAATCTAAAGAACAAGTATTTAAAGGTACAAAAATACATATTTTCTATTCTCACAGAGTTAAATGTTTTCTTGAAAGATATTTGCATTGGGTGTATGTGGGCTCTTACATTTAAGTCTGCAGAGGAACACATGCGTACTGGGAAGTTATTGGTTGGATGGCATCATTTGTTATCTTCTGAAATTAAATCAGACCTAAGACACATTGTAAGTATCTTTCCAATGACTCGCCATTGAAGTCTCTCTAGAAAGCTGCACTTTCATTGTAACTCACATCTAAGTAAACACATGGTACCTAGAATCTAATTCTCAGAGGGAAATGACACCATCCTTCAATATTGCTGGTAGCTTTGGAGTCATCTTGACTCCATGTGTTTGCATGTTTATAGCTTGGTATCAGACATTTCAATCACAGCCTTCTATCAATGTTGGATATTTCACACACGGCTTTTCACATGGTGGCCCTTTGGGACATGTGTTTGCATGTTTATAGCTTGGTATCAGACATTTCAATCACAGCCTTCCCAATGTAGAGCATTTGGATTAGAAACAATACCTTGCACTGTGAGGTGAACCTGCATCGTTCTGGGTGTGTGTTGGGTCTGCACGGAACACGTGTATGGGCCGTCGTCTGTCACATCCACATTCTGTATCTGGAGGCTGTAATCCCTTTTATTCAATGTGGAAATTGAAACTCGAGGGTCCACTGACCACTTGTCACCTCCGGCAAAAATGATACTTGACCGGTTCAGCCAGGCACCCTTTGAAGCTCCATCTTCCAAGTAACACCTAAACATGATGAGAGAGAGGGGGGTGTTAATCAACATGATCAACATGAAAATGAGGTGTATCTGTTCTGAGTGCCATTTCCTCATACTGAGTAACTGATGCACTGCGTGCACGCATCAGACACAAACCCAGGAGACCAGAAACCCCCGGAGATCTCTCATTCCCCACACGAATGCACATAAACATCATGTGCTGTTCTTTATGCTCTTGAACATATTTGTATTTGTGTGTGCATGTGTGTGTGTGTTTGTGTGTGTGTATGTGTTTGTTTGCATGCGTTTGTGTGTGCTTGTGTATGTGTTTGTTTGCATGCGTTTGTGTGTGTTTGTGTGTTTGTGTGCGTGTGTTTGTGAGTGTGTGCATGTGTACGTGTGTGCGTGTGCTTATGTGTGTGCGTGTGTGTATGTGTGCACGTGTGTGTGCTTCAATTCAGAGCCAGACTCCTTTCCCATTCTGTTTGGATGGTTCCTGAATACAAATAAAATTCAAACAATAATTTCCTACATGAAATAATATTTCTCTATTTGACAGACAGGAACTTCAGGAAGTCCGAGTTATACTTCTTCCCCCCAGCCTAACTCTGACTAAGCAGTAGCAGATGAAGAAAACACAAAATAAACTCGTGTGACTGATAATTCTGAGACAACCTGTAGAGTGGGAAGCTGTGCAAAGAACCGTGAACACTGCCCCAATAAGACTGCAGGCTGCTTCCACGACGGCTGCTGTAAGCACAAGAAACCAAGCTAATGCAACATTGTCATCAGAAAATGTTGCTTTCTTTCCAATAGTGTCCAGTAGCTTTGTCTAGGACGCTTTTATTCATCAACAAACAACTGCAGGATGCTTGTTTCTGGATCAAAAAAGACGCACTACCCTTGCCCTGTAGAAGCTTTAGACTAGTTACAAAGATAGCTGACCAATCTATTATGGCTGTAGAAGTGAGGGAGGGTTATCCGGCCCAGAGAAGGGGTCAGCAATCTGCAGAAAGGTGTTCTGCAGAAGGAAACCTCTAAGATGGAAAGGTGGCTGTAGAAGGAACAGCCCTGCAGTCTGAGGTGCTGAGAGCCACACCACACAGGGAGAGACCCTGCCTTTCCATATCACAAATAAGCAAGGATGGAGGGTCGGAGAGGAGGGACAAAGTATGGAGAAAACCCAGACAGAGACAATGATATCAAGCTTGATGTCAGTTAATACATCCTACAGACAAATCTGAAGCCCCTTATTCAAGAATAGTCAGATTCTATAACACACTCACATACACGACTCTATCTAACAGAAGGCTCTGGTCATAGGCCAGTGATTTTGCTGAGGCTTGAAATCTGATGTTTCATCTCGAAAATGTTTTGTTACAAATTAAAGACTGGTTTTCTTAAATGACTACAAAGCAAAGCTACAGAAGGAAAACACACGTACAGCGAAATAGTTTGACAGCATTTCCACAGAACACCTTGGGGGATTGAATGGAGTGTCAGAATGCGACGGAATTGCAAGCTGAACTGGCAGGCTGCCGCCACGTTTATGAAACAACTGGATTGGTTGTGGGGTGGCGGGGGCGGGAGAGGGAGAGGTGCTGAGAAGAATCTCATTTGTAGACAGCTTCCCCACCCAGAGTCCAAAGCAGTAGCAGTTATAGGGTCATCGCTAATTGAAAAGCTTTTCCTTATATATTTAATGAAGAAAATAGACCTCTTTAATGATAAAATTAACTAATTGCAGTATGTTACAATTCTTATTAATATACAGAAAAGGTAGAGACGACATATTTCTCATCTCACAAGATCCTGTCTGTGCTGGTATAGGGTAGATCTCTGAGATACCTCATTAAGGCTGTGATAATCCTACTGTACTATTAATTGTATGAACCATCAAGTGTTCATGTGTGACCTCTGTGTTCCTGGGCTTTACACTGAATCCTATAGTGTGCTCATCATAGCCTTGTGGGGTATGGCTTGCCACACCCTTCATCCCTGGGAAATAAATCAAGATGTGGTGGTTAAATGACTTCTCCAAGACTCTATTCGTGGGCAACAGGGTTGGATTTGGGATGAGCCTCCTTTATCTGCCACCAACATCCTTTCCACAGTAATGCAGATCAAAGACTTAAAAATGGGTTTCAGAAACGGGAAGATGATTAGTATGTTGCAGATATTACTGCAAGTAATTTCTTATTTACTGAATGTGACCGACTGCTTAACCCATCCTATTCTAAAGGAAGCAGAAAATTAATTACGAATGGGTGTTTTTCCATGGAGGTCTGATTCAGACTCTGCTGGGCCATTTCCCTTCCTCTAGGGACAGGCAAAGCTTCACCTGAGCCCAGGATCAAGAGGAGCACAGATTAACCTGCGAGTCTCGTCCGTAAGCATCCTTCTGTCCTGTGCATCAGGGCATCTCAGAATGGGTGAACCTCACCAAGGAGAAGGAAGGGGCCCGTTGCCTCTCCTTGACTGGGGCAGGTACAGCCCAGGACTGTTACTGGTCTCAACCCAAGGTATTTCAAGATATATATTTAAAAGATCCTTCGACTATCAGACAAATCCATGTTTCATTTGTCCCTTGCATTTTTATAACTGTCTTCACAATCACACATAACAGAACTCAAGCAACTCAAATTATGTGAAATGCTTCAAATTGATGGTAATCAGGTACAGGTGTGGCTTTCTGTTTTCTAAAACCACAGGATGCCGGTAAGGAATGCAGGCAACTTTAAGGTAAATTAGGGATGGCTACATGGAATACGTGAGACAGGCCAAGTACATACATTTGAACATACATTTATTTCTATTATTATTGTAGGGATTCTCTGAGGATAAGGACACCATTTTCTGTTCCTCCTGCCTTGTGTATCCCTCCTGAACCACACTGTCACTGACATAATAGCTGTTCCCCATGTTTGACTCACCAGATACAGGGAAGCTGGACAAGGTACAGGGCATGGAGTGTGAACCAGACAACTGTTGTGATAACCACTTGCTTTTCTGATCTTTGGATACCAAGATCTTTTTATAACAGTTACTATTTTGTATTACTTTATGAATTTTACATTCTAAAAATAAAAATCTGCCTAAAACCTAGTCCATACGGGATTTGCAAGGTACCAAGAACATCAGGGCATGTTCATCAATCCCATTTGTGTAGAGCCAGAAGAGGGGCCTGTGCTCAGCTGCATTCTGACTACACGGCCCCGCTGTCTCTGCGGCAGGGCTCCTCTGGCCCTCACACCTGTAGCCAACTCCCTTCTGCCTAGAAGACCCAGGCTGAACCCTTAGCCTTTAAATCGGAGCAAGTCTCAGCCCTACTATCTCTCTCCAAGGGAAAAGATGATTCCCAATGCAACCCAACACACCACGTGCCACGTGTGGCGTGGTCTGTGTCTTTCTGAGCTTCCTGCTGCCCTGACTTAGCTCTGACACTTTGCTTCCCCCAGGCCTGGTTCGCTGGCCTTAGGACTTTGCAATGGTTGTTTCTTTCACCTGGTCTCTCTTCCCCTAGAAGTCTCTATAACTAGTTTCCTATCTAACTTGCATCATCACTGAGTTCCCTAAGATATATTGAAAAACGATCACCAGGGTTCCAAACATCCTGGTTTGACAGACTGTTTACTTGATCGTTTCTGTCCATTTTCCTTAGAAGTAAAACCAAGGGGTCTTTTCTCTCTGTGTGTTCCTGATAGTTCAAGAGCCTTCACATAATGACCTATAAAAGAGTATGTCTGCTGACTGAACGGATGAAGCCAAAATAGAGACGCATGTGGAGGAGGCTGGAGAGGTGGTTCGGTTGCTAAGACTGATTCCTACTCTTACAGAGTTCATTTCCCATCACCTGCATCCGGTGGCTCACAGCCACCTGGAATTCCAGCACCAGGGTCTCTGACATCCTCTTTGGGTCTCTTTCAGCACCTGTACAGATGTATGCATGCCAGCGCATGTGTGTGGACACACACACACACAGACACAGATACACATAAATATACATACATGAAAAATAAATGTTTTTTAAAAATTATCTACTTGTTTGTTTTTCTATGTGTATGAGTGTATTGCCTGCATGTGTATAAGTGCACCTGTGTCATGCAATGTCAGCAGAGGTCAGAACAAGGCAGTGGATACCCTGGAACTGGAGTTACAGATGGTTGTTAGCCACCATGTGGGTGCTGGGAACCAAACCTGGGTCCTCTGCAAGAGCAGCCACTGCCCTTAACTGCTGCACCATCTCTCCAGTCCATAATATAATATTTTACAAAGTTGCATTATCTTAAAAATGATACATGTGGAAATAATAAAGATCATCAACTTCCCAGAGTATAACTAGTTGAGAAAGCCAAGTCACAGCCCCATAAACTATGACACATAATTACATGTCAACACCTGGAACATAAGTGGTAACTGTTCTATACCGTAAATGTGCTAAGCCATCTAAATTAGTGTGAACTGAGCTCAGCATGGAGTGGATAGAGGGAAGCTTTGAGTGATGGGCAGAGGTGGGCAGACCCCAGGTGACCATACAACAGATCCTGCACACAGTCATTTGAAATAAAGCACAGCTGAAACATATGCATCCAGGAACCTTTCTAGATCACAAGACACTGCTCTGAATGTCCGGGACACCCTCTCAGGGACTTACATCCTCAGATGCGTGAATCAAATGTCACATTTTCGATGTGGAAACCAGGGGACTGACAGCTGGGACCTGAACACACCCGGTTGCTTACACTCTTAGCCACAACCACAGGCCCTGCAGTGTGGAGTGATGATGATCTTTTAGTTTGGAATACAAGGATTTAATAACTGCAAAGGACAGGATGGACATTGGTTATTCATGGGGTGTGATGAAGCCAAAATCCTATCTTCTTTGTGTCTCTGGATTAAACTCTCAGGATCTTTTTGAAGTAGATGATTTTGATGATCTGGAACAAATGGCCCATAATGAATAAATCTTAGGCTGCAGCCTGTTTTTTTCTAGGTTATTTTCCACTTAAAAGAAAACCCTCTAGACCT